CCCCGAGCTGCCTGACCGTGGAAAGGTGGGGCCCCAGCCCACCCCCATCCCACCCCAGGGGACTGGTTCCTGGCCCCTGCCTCCCCACCTCCTGATATACAGCGGGCATTAGGCCGCCCAAAGGGGATACTGCATCCTTAGGAAGAAATATGTCCTCATTTTTCTTAAACACCGTTTCCACTGAGTGAAATGTTTAGAAGGGACGCGCAGGGACAACTTTATTTCCTACCAGGGAGTTCAGAGCCACCAAGCAGAGCCCATAAAGCACCAGAGCCCCAGCGCTGACAGGCAGCCCGGCCCTAAAATACATTACTCACGGGCGGGGAGGGGCTGCCAGGCCTGCCCAGCCCCCTGGGACAGACACCCCCCCTCCACTGTCAAGGCAGGACAAGCAACTCTGAGACCCGGGCCATGGGCGGTGGGCACTGGAGCCTCTTCTCGTGAACCCAGGGTGCCTGTGGGAGGGGGCCTGGCCTTGACCAGGTGAGCAGGCCACCCCCAGAGAACAGTGAGATCAGGGGACTGGGGATCCAGGTGCAGCTCCAGGCACCCACCTCTCACCCCGAACTGGCAGGATCCCTGGCCTGCCCCAGCCTGTGGAGGGAGCGAGGAGATTCATGCCATCACGGGGCCTTCTCCCGAGGCCCTCCCTTCATTCCGTTTCTGAAGCTGGCTGATTTGAATATTTATAAATATCAGTAAATTATTTATTGTAGCAATCTGTGCAGCATTTCACCCACCGCGGTTAACACTTTAAGGGGCCCCGTGTTATGGGAACAGGCAGTGAGGGTGAGGAGGGGACGGGGCAGGGGGAAGAGATCCCTGCAGGGTCCCTCATGGGGATGCCGCCGAGTCTCAGCCTTTGGGAGCTTCTGGCCAGGGTGAGCTTGGGCTCTGGGGTGTCTACAGCCCCAGGATCAGCCTCCTCTTCTATGAAATGGGATGGAGACAGTGCCAGCTCCACTAGACCATCACGAGTCATCCATTAGTGCCCAGAAAGGTGGACAGATGGTCCAGTCCCAGCCCTTTTTCCCCAGCCCTGTGCAGGGTCAGCTCAGCTCTGAGACCTGCTGGGGGACTATCGCTCGTGGCACCCTGAGAGGGAAGGTTCTGAACCTGGGAAGCCAAGGAGGGGCTGAGAGGCCAGCCTGCCCCTGCCCCAGGTCTGCCTCTCCTCTGTCCCCTGCCTCTTCCAGGCCAGGGAGCTTTCTCAGCCTTGGAATCTCAAGCCCTGGTATGGCGCCACATCTGCCTGGTGGCCCTCCCGGGGCCCAGCTGCCTTTTCCCAGGTTCGTGCCAGTCAGGCCTGTGCTTGGCATGGACAGGTGCCCTCTCCGTAACAGCCCAGCCGCCTCTCTGCAGGGAGCAATCTTGTCCAGGGCCAGAGCTAGCGCAGGGCAGAGCTTGGCCGTGAGTTCACCATCCCTGACCCCAGCGGCTGCGCCATACCCTGGTGCTGTGCCAGAGCCCCTGGGGCCCGAGGCTGGAGGCCAAGAACACCGCCACCAGCAGAGAGTAGGCTCTGGCTGTGTGTGGGTCCCAGGCCCAGCTGAGCCCCCTTTGGCGGCCCCTCCCCTCGCCACTCCGGTCTCCGGGGAAGCAGAGCAGGAGTCCCCTCGCCTTCCCACCCTCTGGCCCAAGCCTGCCTCCTGGGCAGTATTGTTCCCAGAGGAAGTGTCCAGTGTAAATAGAGCAGCGGGCAGGCTGGTGGCGGGAAGGAGATGAAAGGCGCAGTGACAGGGCCGGGGACGGATGGCTTCCTTCCATTGAGGCCTGGCCATGGCGTTTATATTTTAGGGAAGAAAGTCAGAGGAATGTTTACATGGACAGGAGTCTGGGGTCAGACCACAGCGAGGTAGGGGGATCGTCTGTGGATCCCAGGGCCCTGGGCCGGAAGGTGGCGGGGAGCTGAGACCTCAGCCCAGACGCACCCCCCTTCCCGCCTCCCAGCCTTGCACGCGCTCACACTTAAGAACCTCAGCCCTGCCTCTGCCTCCTGCCCCTGTGTCCCCAGCCCACGCGCCTCCTACCTCCACCCCCGGGACCGGCAGGAGAGGGAGAGGGAGGGCAACATCTGGAAGGCAGGTGGGCTGGGGCAGCATGGCAGCTGGAGGGCAGGTGCCAGGGGAGTCGGCAGGAGCAAAGGGGCCTGGGGCTTGGGGCGGGTCCTGGGTGCACAGCTGCACTGCAGCTGGTGGGGGCCCGGGCAGGAGCAGAGCTGGGCGCACTGCCGAGATGGGGAGAAGGTAGGCTGGGCTGGGTGGGCCAGAGTGCAGGGAGGCTCCAGGATGGGTGGGGGCCCGGGGAGGGGGCGTCACCAGCAGCAAGTGCAGGCCTGGGAGCTTCTGCTCCCCTCTTCCTTAGGATAAATATTTATAGATTCATTTGCCGTCTGCCATCCACACTTGGCTGCTTACCTCCTGGTAAAAATAGTGCCGGCTCCCCCACAGCCCCCCTTCCCTTCCCCATCCAGGGCAGGGGACAAGAGGACCAGGTGAGGCCCACTCCCCCGGAGGCCTGTTGGAAGAAACACCGGCATCACAGAACCTGCTGGGCAGCTGTGAGGTTGAGCTGAGCGCTGTGATGGGGATGCCCCACCTCAGAACCTCAAGAGGGGGCCCCACATCAGTGCCTGGGGTCTTGGGTGTGGGTGGCACAGACTTGGAGATGTGGACGAACCTGGGTAGAGTGGACGTTGGCTTGGGCAAGTGGCTAAGGCCCTGAAGCCAGGGACCCAGGACTGGAAAGCCTGGGAGTAGCTGAGAAGAGCCTTCTCTGGCAGTGGATCTGGCTGAGCTAGAATCACCCTATCTCATCTGAACCAAGTGAGCCATCCACTGGCCACTGGCTACCAGGCGAAGATCTGACTGGGAGTGCCAGTCACAGTGTCTAGCAGGGGACCGTTATCTGTGTGCACAAGTCAAGTCCACTTTTGGGATGCAGCCCCTGGGGGACCTGGGTACTACCATTCCTGTCTGAGTAAGCCTCTCATTGGGTTTCCAGGCGTGTGGAACGTTTGCATGGGGGTAATCATTAGAGAGAAGCTCTTCTGATCACAGAGCCAGGGGGCCCTGCCCTCACTTAGCCTTCCCCCCTGCATGGAGACTCTGACATCCCCCTTCCTCCAGTGAGGGCCACAGAGAGGCACATTTTGTTGGAGCTCCCTTTACACAGTGAGTGTAAGCTGAGCCCCTGCAGCTGTGGCCACTGCCCTGTCCCCAGCCCCACTACAGGGTCTGGCTACAGACCCTCCCACCACAGGGTCTGGCCACAGAAGGATCTCAGTAAAGGGACGGGTGGGCAAACAGTTACATATGTGGGTGCATTCTGTGTGTGCGGGTGTGTGTACACTCTGCGCAGGGGGGGTGTGCATTGTGTGTGTGTGTGTGCACTCTGTGCATGTGTGTGTGTGCTCTCTGCATGTGTGCACTCTGGGTACGTGTGTGCTCTCTGTGTGTGTACATGTGTGTGCATTCTGTGTGCGTGTGTGCACTCTGTGTGTGCCTGTGTGTGCATTCTGTGCACGTGTGTGTGCGCTGTGTGTGTGCACTCTATGCACTCTGTGGGTGAGTGTGTGCACTCTCTGCATGTGTGAGCTGTGTGCACTCTGTGTGTGTACTGTATGCGCATCTATGTGCACTGTGTGTGCACGTGTGTGTGCAGTCTGTGTATGCAGTGTGCGCATGTGTGTGTGCACTGTGTGTGTATACTCTGTGTGGACTGTGCACATGTGTGTGCTCTCTGTGCACGTGTATGTGTGCACTCTGTGTGTGTGCATATGTGTGTCTACCCTTGTCAGCCTTTGTGGCAGGTCCCAGTCTGTATGGTGGGTGGGTGGGCTTGTCATATGCCCTCCAGGACCCTCGGTGCCCTATCAGGGATGGAGTTTAGGCTGTGCCGCCTCGAGGGAAGTCGCTGGCTCTCAAGTAACCTTGTGAGGGCTTCTGGCTGTGTGTGTCGGACTGTCTTGTTCAGGGATTAGGTGCTGTGACTACCAGTTCAGGGCTTTCCACGAGGGATCTAAGCGATCCCACCCTGCTCCAGCTGGAGCTCCTGGGGGCTGGGAAGCGGACTGACCAGGCCTTGCAGGGCTACAGGAGCTGGCTGAGGATGGGGAGCAAGGTCCTAAGACAGGGACAAGTGGCCCTAGGAAGGGCCATGAGGAACTCCGCTTGGATGGTTCTGACTGACCTGGAGAAGCGAATGGCACAGGAAATGCCCAGAGAGGCCTCGAGGGGGCTGGCAAGGACTGGAGAAGACCCTGAGGCCGGGAGGAGACTGAGGAACAGGGAGGCCTTCAGAGGGTCCTTCGGGAGGGTCCTGAGAAAAGGAGACCGCGGGAGGAAAGGAGATCTCTGCTCTCTGCTAAGTGGGGTTGGAGTCAGGCGGGGCCCAGGGACCTGGCCTGGCAGAGGAGCCGCCAGGGACTGATGTGCTCAGGTGGGAAGTACCAGCCGACTGCTACCAGGGCAGTGAGGCAAGAGGCTGGCACAGGCTGGTCCCTGGCTCTCTGTGACTCCTCCCAGGGACGTGTGGTGGGGCAGGATGCTCCCAAGTGGAACCGGCCACCAGCAATGCCACGCTGTCCCTCGCCAGCCTGGCTGCATGGCCGGCTCCTTAACCTGCCGGGGCCTCAGTTTCCTTGTGTGTCAAAGGACACGCCCTCTTCCAAGGCCCAGCAAGCCTAGGAAATGCCTCCAGGACCTGGGTGCCCCTTGTAGTTGACAAGTCATTCATTCATTTGTTCATTTACAGACTAGTTCTTGAACTACCTACTCTGTGCCAGGTACTCTCCCAGGCTCAGAGAGTGAGTGAGTCTCAAGCCCGGCCAAGGAGCTATAGGCTGGCAGGGGAGACAGACACGTGCCAGGCCTCTCAGGACGGTTTGATGGAACTGTGGTTCCAGGCCTGCGGCTTGGGGGATGCAGGGCTATTTGGGAGGGTGGGTTGTGCTTGGCCTTGCATACCTCTGACCTCTGCGCCCTCCTCCATCTCTGCAGCTGAGGGCACCCGGTGCACGGACCCGCCTGCAGGGAAGACCGCCATGGCGGCCAAGCGCAAGGGGGGCCTGAAGCTGAATGCCATCTGCGCCAAGCTGAGCCGCCAGGTGGTGGTGGAGAAGCGAGCCGAGGCCAGCTCCCACAACGAGGGCAGCCCGCCGCGGCCCCGGGACCAAGAGCGCAGTGGCCCCGAGTCTGGGGCAGCCCGGGCCCCCCGAAGCGAAGAAGACAAGAGGCGGGCGGTGATCGAGAAGTGGGTGAACGGGGAGTACAGCGAGGAGCCGGCGCCCACACCCGTGTTGGGGCGGATTGCCCGAGAGGGCCTGGAGCTGCCGCCCGAGGGCGTCTACATGGTGCAGCCCCAGGGGTGCAGCGATGAGGAAGACCATGCAGAGGAACCCTCTAAGGACGGCGGTGCCCTGGAGGAGAAGGATTCAGATGGAGCAACCTGCAAGGAGGACAGCGGCCCCAGCGCCAAGCAGGCTCCAGGTGGGTGCCTGGCCTTTGAAGGAAGGCTGAAGTCCGGGACAGGGAGGACAGCGGGGAAGGGGCAGTGTGTCTGACAAGCACACCCAACTCCTCACTCCTGCCCCAAATACTGGCCCCTCATCCCACCCAGTGAGGACTCCTGGGGTGGGAGAGACTAGGACGGGGAGGGGACCCCATTGAGGAGGGAAGGGCTGGAGCTGCCCCACGAATGGGGGGTCTTCGAGAAACCACAGGCAGAGGGATGGTCAGGGCTGGACAAGTTGGGAGGGAGGGAGGGACGGACGGACAGGGTAGATGGTTGGACAGATGGTGGGTACGTGACTCTTCACACACACCTGTGAGGCCTGAGCTTACCGGGCACAGTACCTGGCACAAGAGGGGCACAGTGGTCAACAGCGTGAGCTCCACAGGCCTGATGTCTGCGCGTTCTGCTACTCGGAGCTTTCTCAGAGGAGCCCAGGACAAGCTTTGTTCTCCCACCACTCTCCTCCCCCTTCTCTTCCTTCCCTACACCTCTGTGCCCAGCCCTCCCAGCAGGACATCTCAGGGCCACCCGGATCGCTGCCCAGCCAGTGTATCCTCTTACAGCCAGCTGCCCTGGCCGCCCGCAGTCCCCTGGCTGACCTCTCTCCCACAGGGCACCGAGGCCCTGCTTTGCTGGTATCTCGGTGCCTTGGGGGTCCAGAGCAGCCCTGCACTCCTTCCGCTCCAGGGGAGGTTCCTGTAGGCAAGGGGGTCGCCAGGACCACAGCCCCAGAATCTGGGTCTTCTCTCTGCCCCCAGCCTCCTTCCCAGTTGTGGCTGGTGCCCTGCGCCTCCCCTGCACGCTCCCCGAGCCCTTCCCCTGCAGTGAGGGGCGCATCTCCTCCCAGTGCGGGGAGCCCTGCGCAGCCACATAATTATGCATATAAGATATAAACAGAGCTGTTTAATTATCCTTCGCCACATCAGTGACAGAGTAATTAACAAACATTGCAAGATCAATGAGGAAAAGTGTGACCTTCAGTTTCCTCTGATAGGAAAAGCCCTTGCCGTCGCCAGACACAAGGTGATTGTGCTGGGCGCGGAGAGGAGAGGAGGAGCGGGACGCGACAAGGGCCTCCGTCCCCTCCACACCCCACCCAGGCTAGCTCTGCCCGCAGCAGATCCAGAGCGGGGTGCGCCTCAGCCCCTGCCTCTTTCCTCCAGCGGAGTGGAGAGCAGTGGGCGGAGGCTGGCCTGGAACTGCCAGTGGCCTCAGAGACCCAGGCCTCGCCCCCTCAGCCGGACACTGGGACTGCCTGCTCGCCCTGAGTGCTGGAGGCGAGAGACAGTAGAGCCCCAGCTGCCCCCGTGGGCTTGGCCCCCAGGCCGCCACCTCTGGGCCTGGGCTCGAGCACGTAGGCCTTTGGGCCACACCAGGGACCCCTGCCTGGTCCCCTCCCTGCGCAAGCTGCCTGCCCTTCGAAGCCTCTGCTTCTCTGCCATATATAGCGAGGGCTCAGCTGCCTCCAGCTATTTTTAGCCCCTTTCCCTGGTCCCTGAGCCACTGAATCTAGCAGCCAGAGCCCACTCCTCCCGAGCTGGGCCCCCCGACCCTGCATAGCATGAGGTCAGGACAGCGGCTGACCTGCCAGCCCCACCCCAGGGAAACTGTTGGTTTCTTGAGTCCCTCTGTGCACCCTGAGTGCCAGGTGGCTGCCTGTGACTGTCCTCTTCTCCCCTAGCTAGGCCCCACGCCCTCCCAGGAGCCCACAGCCTCTCCTTCCATATCCCACCAGGCGTCTTCCCCTGCCCAGGCCTGGCCCTGCCCCTTCCAGAGATACCATCCCAGGTATCTCTGAGGATCTCAGGCCTGGCAGGTTCGCCTGGAGAAGACACCCCCGCCACACCTTCCCTCGGCTGTGTGGTCAGCGTAGGGTCCTGCTGCCCCGAGTGTGCCCATGTGGCTGACTTGCACACGAGCAGAGAGAACACGGTGTCCCTGGGGCCGTCAGGTCTCAGTCTCTCGGGTGCACCCAACCCCCATGCAGGGCATGGCACACGGGAGGCATGTAGCATGCGGGCAGTGAAGGGGCAAGTGTGCGTGTGCGCTGGGGTCACGCCTCGGCCATGGGGTGGGGTGTGTGCAGAAGAACAGCTCAGAATTAGCCTGGGACCGCCTTCTCCCTCATTCCCAGAGACCCGGGCGGGGTGCTGGGGAGGTTCTGCAGAGGCGGGAAGGTGGCTAGGGATGGGAGCTGGTGAGCCGGAGTGTGAGTGCAAGAGTGTGTGAGGTGTGTGTGTTGTGTCTGAGTGTGAGTCTGTATGACTGTGTGTATGTGTGTTGTGTCTGTGTGTGTTTTACGTGAGAGTCTGCATGTAGCTATGTGTGCGTGAGCGAGTGCATGAGTTTTATGTGACTGCATGTCTGGGAGGGTGTGTGTGTGACTGCATGTGTGTGTTGTGTGTGATTGTGAGCACATGATTGTGTGTGTGTAGTGTGTGAAAATGTGTGTAGTGTGTGAAAATTCATGTGTGTGTTGTGATTGTGTGCATGTGACCGTGTGTGGGTTTATGTGATGGTTTAAGTGTGTGCATTCAACTGTGCATGTGTGTGTGACAGTGCATGTGTGTGATGTATGTGATTGTATGCACATGTAGGTGTGAGACTATGAGAATCTACATGTGTGTTGTATGTGATTGTGAGCATGTAACTATGTGTGAGTGTGAGAATGCATGTGTGTATTGTATATGTGATGGCATGTGTGTGCATGTGACTGGGTGAGAATGCATGTGGGTGTTGCATGTGATTGTGTAATGTGACTGTGTTGTGCGTGTGTGCATGTGACTGTGGGTGTGTGAGAATGTGTGTGTGTGCATGTGACTGGGTGTGTTATATGTGATTGTGTGCATGTGACTGTGTGGGTGAGAGTTGTGAGAATGCATGTGTGTGTTGCATGTGATTGTGTGATGTGACTGTGTGGGTGTGTTGTGTGGGTGTGAGTATGAGAATGCATGTGTGTGTTGGATGTAATCGTGTGATGTGACTGTGTGGGGGTTTGTGTGTGTGTGTGTGTGTGTGTGTGTGTGTTGATGTGTGAGAGTGTGCATGCATGTCACTGTGGGTAGGTGGCTCCAGGCTTCCTGGCGCACCCAGGGGTGGCCACAGTGGGGAGGCTGCACTCCCCAGGTGGCTCAGCCTTGTGTGAGTGCAAGAAACCCAAGGGGGCCCGGGGTTTGGAGGACGAGTCCAGGTCCTACATCGAAGCTGGGCCAAGCATGTCCGCACGTCCGCACCCCTGGCTGAGCTGTGTGGTCAGGGACCCTCCACATCTGGGAAGGCATGGGGAGGCCACGAGCCCAGGTCCTAGGAAGGCTTGGCGTACACACTTCATCTGCCCAGGGGATCCATTTGTGGGGTCAAGGGAGGTCCTTGAGCCAGGCCCACCCCGACCCAAGCCAGAGCAACTTCCTCAGTCCTGGGCTCCCGCTCGGCCGCCCAGCCAGTGGCCCACATCCCTACCTGTCCCCAGCTCTTGCCGCTCCCTGCCCTGGGAGGCAGGTTGGGATCTGGCCTTACTTCCAGTAAAATGACTTCTTTCATATTAGGCCAAGGCGAGAGAGCGGAGACATTTATGAAACTTTGTTTAATGTACTGAAAAGCCATCGGCCAGAACATTTAGGAAATTGATTTTCCTGGCATTGATGAACTCGTTTTATTTTACCCCAGTATTAATTACTTTTTTTTAAAACAAATTAATTTAAGAGTCGTAAAACCTAACAAGTGAGCCAAATGTCCATAGATCATGTCCTGCTCCGCCCCTCCCCAAGCCGACCCCCTTCCTCTGTGGGTGGGGGCTCCCAGTGGGGGGAACCTCCTGTCCCTCCCCCTCCCTCCCAGAGGTGATGCGTCCCCCTCCTCCTCTGCAGGAGAGGCCTCCTCGCTGCGGGACTACGCGGCCTCCACCATGACCGAGTTCCTTGGCATGTTTGGCTACGACGACCAGAACACGCGGGACGAGCTGGCCAGGAAGATCAGCTTCGAAAAGCTGCACGCGGGCTCCACGCCAGAGGTGGCCACCTCCTCCATGCTGCCTGCCTCCGAGGACACCCTCAGCAAGCGGGCGCGGTTCTCCAAGTACGAGGAATACATCCGCAAGCTCAAGGCCGGCGAGCAGCTCTCCTGGCCAGCCCCCAGCACAAAGGCCGAGGAGCGCACAGGCAAGGAGGCGGTGGGCCCCCTGCCCGGCCTGCGGCTGCCCAGCAACACAGCGCATCTGGAGACCAAGGCCACCATCCTGCCCCTGCCGTCGCACAGCAGCGTCCAGATGCAGAGCCTGGTGGCCCGGGCCTCTAAGTACGACTTCTTCATCCAGAAACTGAAGACTGGTGAGAACCTGCGGCCCCAGAACGGGAGCACCTACAAGAAGCCCTCCAAGTATGACCTGGAGAACGTCAAGTACCTGCACCTCTTCAAACCCGGGGAGGGCAGCCCCGACATGGGCGGGGCCATCGCCTTCAAGACGGGCAAGGTGGGGCGCCCCTCCAAGTACGACGTCCGGGGCATCCAGAAGCCAGGCCCCGCCAAGGTTTCGCCCACCCCCAGCCTGGCTCCCGCACCCCTCGCCAGCGTGCCCAGTGCCCCCAGCGCCCCGGGGCCAGGGCCGGAGCCGCCTGCCTCCCTGCCCTTCAACACTCCCGAGTACCTGAAGTCAACCTTCTCGAAAACAGACTCCATCACCACGGGGACCGTCTCCACTGTCAAGTAAGGCGCTCCCCAGCCCACAATGCCCAGAGCCAGGAGCCAGACTAGATGGGAGGCCTCCTTCCTCACCCGTGCTTGAGAACACACCTGCCGCTCACACCTCACACACATCCACTGTGCACCCTGGCGCACACACACTCAGGCCGCCGTCCACGCGCTTCCACACACAGAGGCGTGCACCACACTCATGTTCACTCTTGCGCCCACAGAACCACATGTGAGCACCCCCGCAGCACCCGCCCTGCTCCCGGCGCTGCACGCGCCACCCCTCCCATGTCCCTCGAACACGCCCCCCACACACGCTCACACTCCCAGGCTCTGGGGTGCTCTGCCTTTCGCTAGCATGCACACCGGCACTGCAGCCACCCCCATCTGCCCGTGACAGGCTTCCTCTACCTGCTGCCGCAAGCACCAGATGCAGGCCTGTGGCTGGCTGAGAAAACCCTGCCCCGGGTGGGACGCTGGGTCCATGATGGTGGCCCTGGCTCCTGGGCTCGGGGGAGGCAGGAAGCAAAGGTAGTGGGGAAGCACATACGCCCTTACAGCCTGAACCCATGGGCAGGGGAGTGGCCTGCGTGGTAAGATGGTAGGTGGTATGGAGCTGAGTGAGACCCTTCCCCAGAGCGCCTCCTGCAGCAGCCCCAGACCCTGGGGGCTGCATACCCAGGAGCAGAGCTAGCCGGGATACACCTCCCCTGCCCAGCTGCCCGTCCCCACCTCGCATCCTTCCCCATTGGGGGGCCTGGTGCCCCTCGGCCAGCGGCCTGCTGATGTTTCCTGAGTGCCAGGCGGCTGAGCCAGGGTTCTGTGGCTTTCTGCCCCATCAGACCCCAGGCTGGCCTGTGCCCGAGGGGGGGCTCCAGCCCTACCTGCTCGAGGTGGCCCTGCCCTCCCAGAGTTGGGCCCGTTGAACCTCTGCCCAGCTTCTGCCAGGGATGTCCTCAGTCCTGCCCTGGGTGCCTTGGACACCACAGAGAAGAGGGGCTGGGGGCTCAGGTCAGGGGCTGCCCTCCAGATGCACCCTCAGCATGAGGCTGCCCGTCCGCTCACCGGCTGTGACCTGCGTGTCTCTCGCCAGGAACGGACTGCCCACAGATAAACCAGCCGCCACTGAAGATGTAAACATTTACCAGAAATATATCGCCAGGTAGGCCCCTGGGGGGGAGTGCCATGGAGAGAAGGTGGGGGGCCAGGACTGTCTGGGGACTCAGGCCATTCGCTTGACATCTGACCTCTAGGGCCAGGGTAGCTGCCTCCTCCCATCCCCTTCCACTTCGGTCCGTCCACCCGCCGATGGCTGCCCTGCGCGCCCGTTTCAGAGCCTCCCTCTGCTCTGTGTGGTCCAGGCTGCACCGTCCCTCAGCGGCCTGTGTCCCCAGGTCGGGCCAGGGTTCCAGCACGGGGCCTGGCCATAGGTGAGTGCAGCGCCCCCAGCTTGCCTGGGTCCTGCTGTCACACAGAGCCTTGGGTAGGGTGCCAGCCACCATGGAACTGTCAGGTTGGGAAGGTAGAGACAGGCCGGGCGCAGTGGCTCATGCCTGTAATCCTAGCTCTGAGGGAGGCCAAGGTGGGAGGGTCACTTGAGGCCAGGAGTTTGAGATCAGCCTGGGCAACAGCGTGAGACCCTATCTTTAAAAATAAAATAAAAGAGAGACAGAGAGAGAAGGGGTGGGCTGGCATCCTCTCTGACATAGCCCAATGCCTTCCCCAGTGAGGCTCTGACACCACCTGACTCCAGAGCAACCCCTTTCCATCCCGAAGGCAGTGGGATTGGCAGTGAAGCGCCTTTGCCTCAACAGATTCCCCGAAATCACACAAATAATACCCCCCGCCCCACCCCCCACCTGCCCTCTGATGGGCCAGCACACAGCGGCTGGCGCCTGCCTGTCCACTGATCTTCCAGGTTCCTCCCCGCTCTTCTCCGCCCGCTGTCCCGCTCTGTCTTCGGCTCTCCCCGTGCTGTCTCCTCTATAGTATTATTACTGCCGTTATTATTAGTGCCTCCGCAGATGGCCCTTTTGGCAGCTTCAGCTTAAATATTTATTTGCACGTGGTTTTCCCCTTACAGTATGGGGTTTCTCTCTCTGTATCCCGCAATCTCTTATCATCCTTGAAGGGGGACAGGCAGGCTGAGCCACCCGCTTCTCCACAGTTGTCATGGTGTGGCCTCTCCAGCGTGGCCTCCCCACAGCCCACCGTCACTGAGGCTGTGAGAGCCACGTCCCAGCGGCCCTGGGGCCTGGAGGAGGACGGGTTTCCTGGGAGGTAGCTCGGGCTCCTGGCGGTGGCGGCAGCGGCTGGAGAGTGAGCTTCTTGCCGCAGGAAGCCAAACAGATGCTGTACTTTAAAAATTCATAACTCTGCACTGTTTCAAGTGTCAGGAAAAGCCCAGGATGGAGAGAGGCCTCTAACACCTCTCAGTATCAGAGCCCGGGCGGGCCCAACCAGGGTCTCTGCACCTGGCCAGAGATGGGCGGGCTGGGAATAGGGCAGGCAGCCCCTGCAGAAAAGGCAGGTGGGCAGCCGAGGGGGCGTCTGCCTGCCCTCCCATCCCAGGGCTCGGGCCCCTCTCTCTCCCCCTGCTCCGACCTTTGGCCACCTCAGCGTCGTTCCCTTCTTGGGGCCGGGCCTCTTTGCCTCAGTGGGCCTGGGATTCCCGCCAGGCCCAGTCACTTGCCCAGGCCTCTGCAACTTCACCTCCCCTCCGAGTGCCTTACAGAGCCTGGAGAGTCCTCCCTGGGGCTGGGGCTGGGGCTGCCACCCAGAGCAGGACCCTGACACTACCCCCTTCCCTCCAGGTTCTCGGGCAGCCAGCACTGTGGCCATATCCACTGTGCCTACCAGTACCGGGAGCACTACCACTGCCTCGACCCCGAGTGCAACTACCAGGTATGGCCGCCTTGGGACCGGCTCCGCCTCCCCCGCCCACCAGCGCTGCATGGAGGCACTTAGAAGTGGGGTGGGGGATGCCTAGTTCTACTTGCACCACCTAAACTTGACTGGAGGAGACAGAGGGCCGACAAAAACGACTAGCCTGCCCATACTCCCTGGTTCCCACGGACAGAGCAGCTCCCAGGCTCAGGCGCCATGGACATCCCCACGGTGATCATTCTAGCCCTTCTCACTGAAAGCCTCCCACATGTCTAGGGCCGCACCAGCCAGCCTGTGAGCCTTGTCTCACTGACTCTTTGCAATGGCCCTAGGTTAGCATTACTGCCCCATCTTAAAGATGATAAAACTGAGGTTCAGTCAGAACGCTGCTATGCTCAAGGCTGCCCACTGGTGAGGGCAGAGCTGGCGAGTGAGGGCAGAGTCGGGGCAGCCTGTGTAGGGCAGCTCCCTCTTGATGGCCAGCGGTCCCAGCCTGCCTCAGTCCCCAGGTGCACTGTCAGCACCAGAGCCCCTGCCTCCAAGATCTGGCCCCGATGCATCTTCTGTGCTCCTGGGGATGGCCACTGGGGAGTTAGGGGAACGTCTGGGAAGAGTCGATGGTTCTAGAACCTCTGGGATGGTTCCCTGCAGGGGCCGGTGTGCCTGCCACTGGCCTTGGGCAGTCTGGGCTGCCTTGACCCCAAGCAGGGTTCTTTCCAGGGAGGCCTGAGGCCAGCACCTGGCGCAGGTGCTCTTGGCAGATGGGAGGAAAGGCAGAGGGGGGACCCAGGCTCCTGCCCACGAGGCGCTGTCTCCTGGCAGAGGTTCACGAGTAAGCAGGACGTGATCCGCCACTACAACATGCACAAGAAGCGCGACAACTCCCTGCAGCACGGCTTCATGCGCTTCAGCCCGCTGGACGACTGCAGCGTCTACTACCACGGCTGCCACCTCAACGGGAAGAGCACCCACTACCACTGCATGCAGGTACCCCCCGCCCCCAGGCTGTCCTGGTTCGGAGTCCCCCGAACCCCTCACTCCCAGAGCCAGGGCTGCCCCGTGGGCAGGGACCCCGGTTGATCGGGAACCCCTCTTTCTCCAGGCCCCACACAGGGATACCCAGCGAGCCAGTAGGGTCCTGGGGTTCAGGCTTGGGCAGTGTCTGGGGGGCCAGGGCGGGGCCTTCCCCATGGCCATACTTGGTGTGGGTGAAATTCAGTGAGCTGTTTATACAGACCGACATTTTTCAGGCTTTAACACCAAGAGTTGCATTGCAAATGATTCCTGAGGAGGTTTTTGTTTAATTCTTTGTTTTAATGCCACGCAGAGTCTGGGCTTTTTCAAGGTGTCAGGGCCAGGAGGAGCGACTTTGGATTGCAAATAGCAGCCCCGTGCCTCCCCCGGTATTTGTCAGGGGTTGTTATGGGCTCCGTGAACAACCTGGGCCTCGAGGAGAGGGGGGCTACCCTCTGGGCTCTGAGATGGTGCAGACACTGGCACGGCCCAGCCTTCAAGAGTGTTCGGATTCCACGGGTTTTTACTCAATATGGCAACGTTGCCTTCCTGGCCTGGCTGGGGTGGGGTGGGAGGGCCCCGTGCCCAGGAACTGTCCACTGAGCAAATCCCTGGGCTAAAGGTGACCTCCGGGGTCCAGCCCCTATCCGCCCGTTGAGGGTTTTAGAGGTAGGGCCGTGGATTGGCACTCAAAATCCAGCTCTTTCAGAATGCAGCTCCCTCCCCTGGGCCAAAAAGTGCCCCAGGTCTCCCGAAATGCCCTGACCCTCGGCACAGATGGAGGCAGCCCCAGCAGCACCCTCCGTGGGGGCCCTGAGGGGTGTTAGAGGCTTTCTCCTTGGCTTCCTACGTTGACCTTCCGCGGTCTCCAGTCTGAAGAGGTGCCAGAGCTCTCCTGAGCAGGGAAGTCAGGGACCCCAGCCACACCCAGTGATGCGGACCTCGGCCCCGGAGCGCCTGGCCTCTGTTTGAACACCTGACCGCCATCCCGTCCCGTGCAGGTGGGCTGTAACAAAGTGTACACAAGCACGTCCGATGTGATGACCCACGAGAACTTCCACAAGAAGAACACCCAGCTCATCAACGACGGGTTCCAGCGCTTCCGAGCCACCGAGGACTGCGGCACGGCCGACTGCCAGTTCTACGGGCAGAAGACCACGCACTTCCACTGCAGGTCAGCGGGGCGGGGCCTTCCTGGACAGAAGCGGGGAGGGAAGGCAGGGACCCAGGGCCGTGGTGGGAGCAGGGCGGGGCCTCCTCTGGGCCCCCTGAGGCTCCATGACAGGCTCCCCACGTCCCCTGCAGGCGCCCGGGCTGCACATTCACCTTCAAGAACAAGTGTGACATTGAGAAGCACAAGAGCTACCACATCAAGGACGACGCGTACGCCAAGGACGGCTTCAAGAAGTTCTACAAGTACGAGGAGTGCAAGTATGAGGGCTGCGTGTACAGCAAGGCCACCAACCACTTCCACTGCATCCGCGCCGGCTGCGGCTTCACCTTCACCTCCACCAGCCAGATGACCTCACACAAGCGCAAGCACGAGCGCCGGCACATCCGCTCCTCGGGCGCACTGGGGCTGCCGCCCTCGCTGCTGGGTGCCAAGGACACGGAGCAGGAGGAGTCCAGCAACGACGACCTCATCGACTTCTCCGCCCTGAGCAGCAAGAACTCCAGCCTCAGCGCCTCCCCGACCAGCCAGCAGGCCTCCGAGGCTGGGCCCAGCACCACCAAGCCCCCCAACAGCAAGATCTCGGGGCTGCTGCCCCAGGGCCTGCCCGGCTCCATCCCCCTGGCCCTGGCCCTCTCCAACTCGGGCCTGCCCAGCCCGGCGCCCTACTTCCCCATCCTGGCTGGCCGTGGGAGCACCTCCCTGCCCGTGGGCACCCCCAGCCTCCTGGGTGCGGTGTCGTCCGGGGCAGCAGCCTCAGCCACCCCTGACACACCCTCGCTGGTCACCTCTGGAGCTGGAGACTCGGCCCCCGTGGCTGCCGCCTCTGTCCCGGCACCACCTGCCTCCATCATGGAGAGGATCTCTGCGAGCAAGGGCCTCATCTCACCCATGATGGCCAGGCTGGCCGCTGCTGCCCTCAAGCCCTCTGCCACCTTTGACCCAGGTGAGCAGGCTGGGTCCTGCCTGGAAAGCGGGCACCTTCTTCTGGACTGGGGTGGCCCTCTGGCCTCAGGCTGCAGAGCGGAGTCGGGGGTGTTTGGAAGAGGTGTCCATGTGGCCCCTGCCTGCCAGCGCCCCTTGTTTGCCTGGTCTTTGCCTCCATCCTGTTGGTTTCCATGTGGGGCCCTTGGTTCTGGCTCACCCACAGCAGGAGGCCTGTGCTTCTGTTTCTCCATCCATGAGGTGGGGGCAATGGTCCCTGCCTGCTAGGCTGCCCCGCATCCCTGGGGCCACTGCAGGTCCCCCCACCACCATCTGTTTACCCTCCCACGTCCCAAGTCCAGCCCTGATGAGAGCAGGCCCAGGGCCCCAGGCATGCCCAGAGTTTCCTGCAGCTGACCTGGAGTGGGGCCTGTGTCCAGCCCAGCAGTGGAGGGGCAGCACCTCACACCTGGACACCTCCAGGCTGGGGGATGCCATTCCCAGGCTCCCTCCTCCACAAGTGCTGCCCAGTAGGACTTGCCAGACAATGGAAGCCTTCTGTTCTGCACTGTCTGACTTGGCAGCCACTGGCCACGTGTGGCTGTTGGTGCTTGAAGCTGGGTCTGTGACACGGAAGCAGGACTGTCACGTTAGACAGCCACACTTGGTCAGGGACTGCCATGTCGGACAGAAAAGGGCCAGAGCCCGGAGTTGCATATTCCTTCTTCACGCTGACTCACTGAGGGGCGCAGCTCTCTTTCCTCCTTCCTATAATTTCATAAATTCTCCATTTAAAAAAAATGTTCTTTCTGTTTTTCTCTGGATTGGGTCGGGAGGCCAGTTCTGTTCACCTCGCTCCCCTTCCTTTTTCCCCCTCTGGGTAGTTCCTGTTTTTTAAATCCTCGGGGAGAGTTCAGTTCATGTCTGGGATGTGGCTTATTTCAGTTATTCATTCAACAGCCACTGATGCCTGCTGAGAGCCAGGCTCTAAGCCGGGTGCTGGGGACACAGCAGGCTGGACGCCAGACAGAGCCCCACCCCGTGGAGCCGGCAGCCGGTTGGGGATGGTCTGTCCCGGGCACATGGCTAGGAAGTGGTGAACCAAGGCGCTGCCCACGGGAGTGAGGCTCCTGGCCAAGATGCTTGCTCCCATTCAAAACCCTCTCAGAACCTGCGAGACTGAGGGTCCCCGTGGCCAGCCCGGGGCTCTGCCTACACCTCGAGGAGGCTGCCAGTGCTTGGCAGGGGGGCTGGGCCCTGTTTCCCTGGGACCTTGGGCAGGTGACTTTGGAGAGCCACTAGAATGTGGACTCCTGAGGTCTGAAAACTCTCACAGGCCCGATAGGGTGCACATACCCAGCAGACGCATGGAGTGGCCGCCTCCTAGTCCATGCCTGGGTGGGGCCTCACTGGCCACACCCCTCCAGCCAGGTGCCTGCTGGCCAGGGCCACCTGGGCTCAGTCGCCAGACTATCAAGTACTTTGTTTTCATTAGGAAAGTCTCCTTCCCCCAAAAGAAAGGTCAAGCTCAGGGGAGGGGGCTGTTTTATTTTTTAATAAAATGCCACTTGCTGTCTCTGAAGCGGCTCTCTGTCAGCCGCAGCGCCTTGGGGCAAATTAATATCTCCGTCACTGGGGGATTGTGGGGGAAGGCTCACTGGATGGCCCTGTCAGCAGCTTCTCTTACCCCTGCTCTTTGGGCCTCCTGCGGCCTCACCCGCCCAGCTCCCTCCCGGACCCAGCCCAGCCCAGCCTGTCCAGCCACATGTCCCTGCCCCAGACAGCTTGATTGCGGGGCTCACACAGTGTGGCCATTCTGACCGGCCGTCCACCCCATCACCCTGACGCAGCAGAGTCCCTTCCTGGGCATGCTCTGTGTGGGCTGTCACCCAACAACCGCAGGCCGGGGACCACAGAGGGACCCTCCCAGTCCAGACCTGCCACTTTCCCTCAGCATTAACAGAGTCTTTAATAAAAGCCTAAGCGGCAGCCCCACAAATCAACTGTGACAGTTGGTGGAGAAAATGAAGGGTCCCCGCCCCCACCCCAGCCCCCTCCCCAGCCTCCCGCCCTTCTCCTCCAGGAGGCCCTGAGCCAGGACAACTTTGACATAATTTTGCAATAATTATCACTTGAAGAATTGCCACACAGGAGCAAGCGTCGCGAGCGATCACGTCAGCGGGAGAAGCGCTGACCAGCAGCAGGGGCTCACCCGGTCCACTGTCCTCCCTCCAGGGGGCAGTGCCCAGGCCAGGCCTTCAGCCCCTCTGATGCATCTTCCCTCCCCTCCCCTGCAGGAAGTGGGCAGCAGGTCACCCCAGCCAGGTTCCCCCCAGCCCAGGTGAAGCCGGAACCCGGTGAGAGCACCGGCACCCCAGGCCCCCATGAGGCCTCCCAGGACCGCAGTCTAGACCTGACTGTGAAGGAGCCCAGGTGAGGCAAGGCCCCCTAGGGAGCTGGCCCCAGGACCAACCGCACCTTCTAGCTGGAGCCCCGGGGTAGTCCCGACCCGGCAGCTGCATCGGGCCGGGCTGAAGCCCCAGGGCCGGGCAGGGAGGGTGAGCCCCGGGGCCCAGGCCCCAGCCGTCTAAGCTCAAGCCCCTTGGTTTGTGTTCTAGTAATGAATCAAATGGCCATGCAGTCCCGGCAAATTCATCTCTTTTATCCTCGCTTATGAATAAGGTAAGAGCCATCCATCACACGCCTCCCGTTCCCCCACCCAGAGAAATTAAAGCTGTGCTGGGGGGTGGGGGGGGATGTGTTTGTTTTTTAATGTTTTCCCTCTAATAAGATGAGTTTGTACCATTTAAATTTTGAGGCCATTTTTCATCGGATATAATTTCAGAGCCACTGCTTACAAATTAATTTAATGAACTGGCTGAAGAAATATATCCCAGCCTCTGACACCTTTTTTTCCCTTCAGATGGAGGGCTCCAAAAGCTTTTCCAGAGCCCTTCAACTTCGTTCATGCCTCGTTATTAATTTTATTTATTTATTTTATATATTTTTTGTTTGTTTAAAAGGGGGTGGGGGGGGATAAAGTGGGAGCAAAACATCAATTTCCACTTTTCGGGTTGAGTAATGGGCTCGGACGCTTCCAGAGAGGTCGCTCTGGAATATTTATTTTAAATAATGCAGGGTCTCTGTAAATTATACATCATCTCAAATATATTTTTCCCCCCTTCACATGATACATTTGACTACAGCAAGATTAATTCAGTTACTGTACACCAGTGACTGCGCTGAGGAGGGGCCTGGCCTGGGCGGAACCTCTCACCACAGGGGTCCCAGCCGGGCACCTGCTAGGGAAGGAGCCTTGATGCCCTGAGGCATCCACTCCTTGGCCACTTGCTCTCTAGCTCTCCTTCCCCTTCCTTTGGCCGCTGCCCCCACATCCCCATCCCTTTCTGTGAAGCCTTTGCACTGACCCCCTCCTGGCCACTACAGGGGGCCTGTCTCCATCTTCACCTGTGAGCCTCCCTCCCTCCCTTCCGCCCTCCTTCCCTCTTCTCTCCCCTTTGTGAGCCTCCTCTTGCTCTCAAGGAATTCGTAGGAGTTCCCCCATCCCTCCTCCTGAGCTTCTTTTGAAAACCTTCTGGCAGGAAAGTAACCAGGGAGCCTCGGAGTCTGGGGAAAGATGGGCTGCAGTGTGCGCCCTGAGTCTCAGCCTCAGCTTGAGTGATGGATCCCACGGCAAGGGCTCAAGTGGAGGAGCCCTGGGGAGGCCTAGCAGCTCCTGGGGCCTGGGCAGCTCGCAGGCTCTTGGTTCAGGGAGGGCCCGGCCACAGCCAGAGCCAAGCAGGCGGGCTGCGTTCTCTGCTGCCACTGAGGGCCCGGTGGGTCCCTGCAGCCCCGAGCTTCAGCCGCTGTTCCCCAGGCAGCCGTGTCCATGTCCCACCCGAGGTGCCCCAGCCTCACACTTGGCCTCTGTCCTCACAGATGTCTCAGGGCAACCCGGGCCTGGGCAGCCTGCTGAACATCAAGGCGGAAGTGGAGGGGAGCCCCGCCACGGAGCCCTCACCCTTCCTGGGCAAGGCTGTGAAGGCGCTGGTGCAGGAGAAGCTGGCGGAGCCCTGGAAGGTGTACCTGCGCAGGTGAGGGGCTGCCAGCCGTGCCCACCCATCCTCCCCCAGCGCGCACCCCAGAGCCCTTGGCTCTCCTCTAATGCCGGCTCCTCTGGCTAGGTTTGGTACCAAGGACTTCTGCAACGGCCAGTGTGACTTCCTCCACAAGGCCCACTTCCACTGCGTGGTGGAGGAATGTGGCGCACTCTTCAGCACCTTGGACGGGGCCATCAAGCATGCAAAGTGAGTAGGGTGCTGGGGGCATTTCAGCAGCTCCCACTGATCCCAGCCTGGCTCTGGGGTGGGTGGGGCCGGGGCCTGCACAGCCATTTCCACCAGACCACAGAAGCTCAGTGGTGTCTCAGAGGTGCTGCCCCAGCAAGGGTGGGCTTCCCATCCTCCTTCACACACGCAGCCCTCAGCCTGGGGCCCTGAGCAACATCTGCTACTGCACCCATGTCCCCAGGGCAGCCATCGGTCCCAGCGCGTGCCCCCTGCAGAGCAGGCCAGAGGGGTGCAGAGCCCAGCTGGAGAGACTTGGCTGTGACCTGGGGAGGAACCCTAGCTGAAGGCCTTTGCAAGCCACAATATCATATCTCTAGGTTACTTTTGACCTAAAAATAATGAAATGAATTTATAACTCCCATGGAGTTAAAAGGCTTCAAGCCTGACCACCCAATTATAAGGGAACTCAGAACTTGCAATCGTTTAAAACAGATCTGCAAGCTCCCAAGGCTTTCCCCACCGTGTAGGCACCCCCCCTGCGGCCTACTGGGAGGCCTGCCGTGAATACTGAGAGTCCTACCTTTCAGACCTCCGAGCAGGTTCTGGAAGGAAGGGGCTTCCTGGGGCAGGGCCTGCTGTCACACACACAAGGAGGAGTTGGGGACCAAGAAAGGCATGGTTGGGCCCAAGCCAGGAGCCCACGTTGGGAACCAGAGGATGGGCAGTTTGCTATCTAGTCCTTTGTCCTGGTGGGGTCACGGAGACTTCTGGAGCTGAATGATGGGGACCAGTAGGGACGGACACCAGGGTCTAGGCCTGTGATGGAGTCACACTTCCCTCTGCACCTGTCTTCGCTGCCCCCCTGAGACCCCTATTCTGCCTCTCGCAGCTTCCACTTCCGGACAGAGGGAGGAGCCGCAAAAGGAAACACAGAGGCTGCCTTCCCGGCCTCGACTACCGAGACCAAACCTCCCATGGCCCCCTCATCCCCTCCAGTCCCTCCTGTCACCACAGCCACCGTGTCCTCTCTGGAGGGGCCTGCCCCCAGCCTGGCCTCCGTGCCCTCCACCCCCACCCTGCTCGCCTGGAAGCAGCTGGCTTCCGCCATCCCCCAGATGTCTCAGATCCCAGCGTCAGTGCCTCACCTGCCCGCCTCGCCCTTGGCAACGACTTCTCTAGAGAACGCCAAGCCCCAGGTCAAACCCGGATTCCTCCAGTTCCAGGAGAAGTGAGTCCCTCGATGAGCCGGGAGTCCCGCGTTCCCCTCGCGTCTCGGGAGTAGGTGCTAGCAAGGGCGCTAGGAGGCCCTGTTCCTCACTGCGGATGGTGCTGGCTGTCCCCAGCCTCTCTGGGCATGGCCATCGGGTGATGTTCTTCCAGCCAAAGATGCTGCTGCTCCTACCTCACTGCCTGTCCCAGAGCAGGCCAGCCAGCGTGGGCCGATGGTGGCAGCAGTAGCCACTGCTCCTGCAGGGCACAGGGTGATCCTGCCAGGGCCAGCTGGGGTGGGCTGGGCGTGGTGGTCCTCAGAGGACATCTCCCAGCCTGATAAGAAGGGCTGCGTCTCCCTCCGGGCCTCCGTGCTGGCCTCCTCTGTGGTTCTCACCCACGGCTGAATCTCTGCAGGGCATGCGAAGTCATGGGTTGGAGTGAGGGGGCCAGGCCCTTCCTGGCTATCACTGGCCTGCACAGTGCTCTGAGCTCTTGGGTGGAAGGGACCCTCCTCACTGGATGGTGGTGGCTCCTTGTAGGGAGAACGGTGACTTTGTATCATCATGTGTGCGGCTTCCTCTTCTCAATAAAAGTAATAAATTGGATTATTTATACCGCCTGAGTGGCAGCTGTCCTCCCTCTCTGAGCACCTGGGGCTGGGCCCGTAGCATGGAAGGGGCCCAGCACTCTTCTCCGTCCCTCAACCACCAGCTTCCCCTCCCCTGTACTCCTCCCCAGAGTGGCAGCTCAGGTTTCCCAGGCTGGTCAGAGTGTCCACTGTGGGTCCCCTGGGAGCGGACTGCCGCGTTGCAAACCAGAATGGAAGGCTGGAACCAGTGTCTTCCCGCACCCCTCTGGATCCTGGAGGTTGCCCAGGGCAGGCCAGCACACCCCCTCTTCCCAGCAGCTCTCCCACTCTGCCAGCAAGTGAAGTCTTCTGAGTGGGTGGGTACTATGGGCGCTGAGCTGACCCTGGGGAGCCCAGCAACTGTGAGCCCCCAGGAGCTGACACCAGGCACACGCTTCTGCTTGCTAAGGGCCGTGGCAGCAGTGCTTCCTGGTAGGGCCGAGCACCCGTCTGCAGTCTGTCAGTCAGCCACATCCACGGCAGCGCCCATGCCACGCCAGCCAGGGCCCCACGGCACCCCGCCAGGGCTGGCAGCACCATCCTTATTTTCCGATCCAAGAAGTTTTACAGCCATCCTTATCTATAATCCTGAGGTGTGGCCATGGAAACTACGTGTCCCAGCATGCAGTGCTCTGGGCACCTTGCATTTTGCAATCCCTGTGCATCCTGCAGAGCTCCTAAAAGGAGGCAGGAATGCATGCTGGGATCTGTAGTCTCCGGCTGAGTCATCCTGTTGCGCAGGACGGCAGCCCGGGCCATCCCTCTTGGTGGTACCGCTGGTCATGGGGCAGTGAACCCCAACACAAGCGAATTCAGGACACCAGCAGGGAGGGCTTGGAAATGGCAATGACCTTCTGGGCTGTGGTTTCCTTCCAGCGATCCTTGCCTCGCGACGGACTGCAAGTATGCCAACAAGTTCCACTTCCACTGTCTCTTTGGGAACTGCAAGTATGTCTGCAAAACCTCTGGCAAGGCCGAGTCCCACTGCCTGGACCACATCAACCCCAACAACAACCTGGTGAACGTGCGAGACCAGTTTGCTTACTACTCCCTGCAGTGTCTCTGTCCCAACCAGGTCAGCATGGCGGGCCAGCCCAGGGGCAGAGTAGGGGGCAGGGGAGGTGCGGGGCTAGCTCGGGGCACAGGACAGGCACCTCTGGGCAGAAACTCCGTTTCTCACATCTTGCTTAAATGGGTCTCCAGGACTCTGGAAAGGACACCGACTGCCCCTAGGCCCCTGGGCAGGGGTCCAGATAGGTGCTATGCTGGTGAGGTCTAACTCCCCGTGGTGACTGAATGCTGGGAAGGCACCGTGCCCTTGACATCATTCTTGCCTATCCTGGAACTAGCTATGTCCCCTTTCTCCAAAGCCCTAGAAGTTTCGAACAGGCCCATTGTGCATGCCTACACAGGAAAGGCAGATCAGATACACCTTAAAGGCCTGACCCCCAAGACCAGGAGGGGCTGCCTGAGGGGAGCCTGGGCCCAGGTGCGCTAGGATAGAGCAGTGATGTCTGCCCGGGTCTGGGCATACGGGAAGAGTGTTACCAGAGATTCACCATGTCTGCTGTAGGTATGGGATTGCAGAGGGACTGTGAGGTGACCAGGGCAGGATGCTTTCGTCATGCAGTGACTAAGGGGCATACACTGCTTTTCTTTCTTTTTTTTTTTTGGAGATAGTGTGTTACTCTCACCCAGGCTAGAGTGCAGTGATGCGATCTAGGCTCACTGCAACCTCTGCCTCCCAGGATAAAGCAATTCTCCTGTCTCAGCCTCTCAAGCAGCTGGGACCACAGGCTCACGCTGCCATGCCCGGCTGATTTTTTGTATTTTAGTAAAGATGGGGTTTCACTGTGTTGCCCAGACTGGTCTCAAACTCCTGACCTCAGGTGATCCGCCCACCTTGGCCCCCCAAAGTGTTGGGATTACAGGTGTGAGCCACCATGCCTGGCCCTGCACTGCTTTTTAACACGTGGAAGGTGTTTCTATGATCACCAGCTTCTGAGCACAGAACACGTGTGCCAAGGGCCCACCTCAACCTCAGGCTCGGGGCAGGCAGGAGCTCACAGAAGTCACCCACCCATCCTGACCCTCCCGTGTTTCCCACAGCACTGCGAGTTCCGAATGCGTGGGCACTACCACTGCCTCCGCACCGGCTGCTACTTCGTGACCAACATCACCACCAAGCTGCCCTGGCACATCAAGAAGCATGAGAAGGCGGAACGGCGGGCAGCCAATGGCTTCAAGTACTTCACCAAGCGCGAGGAGTGCGGCAGGCTAGGTACCGAGGGCTGGGGCCACGGGCAGGGACTTCCAGCAGGCAGCAAGACCGTGACCCCGGTGGCCTGGGCCTCCTCTCCTGGTACCCGTGTCCTGTCCCCCACCGCAGGCTCCATGTTTTGTTAATGATGTCCCAGATATCACAGGCTAGGCACTGTCAAGCCTTTGAAGCAGTCGAAACCCACAGAGCCTAGCAATAAATGGCAGGGCATTGCCACTGCACCCCTAGACAGCTGCCCTGGGACCTTGTCATGAGCATCCGGGGGCTGGGCGTGGTTCTGTCTTCCTTTTCTCATCAAGAGGCTAGCAGGGAAGTCAGGAGTTCAAAGTTCTTTGCTCTGGGATCTCTTTCCATGGCTTTAATGATGAGGTTTTTGTCTGAAATGAACTACAGTTTGTTGGTCTGTTCATCCATTCTACAGTTACTTATGGAGGGACAGCTCTGTGCCAGGCTGGGTGCTATCACGGGTGGGGGTGGTGACGGTGGGGGTGGCTTAGATCTAGTGGGGAACAGTCAAGTTCCCCGTGGGCTCAGCTGGAGCACCTGTGACCCGGAACCCAGGAAGGGACTGCCATGGCTTTGGGAAGGGGAAGCCAGAAGCCACAGATGCCCAAGAGGTAGCTGTGCTACTGGGAGCTGAGCCCCCGGCCCCTGTGCGTGGCCTACTCACGGGGCAGGACTCTCCATAGAAAGAGACCGGAGCCCGAGGGCAAGCTGGAGCCAGGCCGCCCAGCAGAGGCCCCCGGGCTGCAGGCAATGCCCATTGGTATGACTCGGTGGTCACGCAGTAGGGGTGGGGCTGCTGCAGTCTGGCCCTTCTGCAAGTGAAGGGTGGTGTACTCAAAGTCAACCACCAGAAAAGAAAGGAAACAACCCCTGCCTTCAAGTATGAGTTCAAAAAGGAGTTCTCGGCCAGGGAGAGAGGGCTGGTAGCCATGGCAACAGGATCAACACTCTTGGCCTGCGTGGTCCCTGGGCTCAGTTTACAGATGTCAGGGCATTCTGCAGTTGCCATTATTTACCCAACTTGTGTTTTTGGTGATAGTTGGGGCCAAACAAAGCTGGGGGATGACAGAAGACACCTGGCCAGCCCAGGCGCCATAGCAGCGGGCAGGCCCTCACCTGCCCTGCGATGCTGTTTCAGCCCCGCCTGCTCTGTTTGTTCTCAGCCCAGAGCAAGGCAGTGGGGGCTGGGGGCTGGGGGCTGGGCAGAGGGGCCGGCAGCACCCGGGCTCCCCAGCAGAGACATGGGGACAGGTGGTTTGCTGGGAGGTGACTAGCCTGGGGGACAGGGACCACCCTTGCCCTGGAGCTGTGCACCTCTTCGTGTACAGTGGGCCAGGGGATGGGGGCCAGCCGAGCATTGTCACTCGCCTCTGTGCCAGGCTGGAGAGGAGGCCCAGGGTGTGGATGGCCAGGTAGCTTTGGACTTCCCGACCTTCCTCCTAAGAGTGCTGCCCCGGCTCAGGCCCTTGTCCTCAGACACCATCTGCCTCGTAGGCCACACTGCCCCCAAGCCCAGAACAGTGCCCAACATGCCCTGGAAGCTGTGAGTGCTGGCCAGCTGGGGGGCTCATGCCAGGTGGGGCTGTGTCCACAGGCTGCAAGTACAACCAGGTGAACAGCCACTTCCACTGCATCCGGGAGGGCTGCCAGTTCTCCTTCCTCCTCAAGCACCAGATGACCTCCCACGCACGGAAGCACATGCGGAGGATGCTGGGGAAGAACTTCGACCGTGTGCCCCCCTCCCAGGTGAGGACTTCCCCAGGTGATGACCTCCCCAGGTGATAGCCCCCTTCCCAGGTGAGAGCCCTCCCAGGTGACAGCCCCCCAAGGTGAGAGTCCCCCAGGTGAGAGCCCCCTGCAGGTGAGAGACCCCCCAGGTGAGAGCCCCCCAGGTGAGAGCCCGGCCAGGGTGTTGGGAGTACATCACGGTCCCACTCTCCTCTCAGGCCTGTGCTGCCTGGAACCTCATCCTGCCCACTGCAGGCAGCATCCCCCTCAGCCCCACTTTCAGGGACCCCCATGTCCTTCCAGGGCCCCCCAAGCCTGATGGATGCTGAGACAGATGAGTGCGTGGACTACACCGGCTGCAGCCCGGGTGCCATGTCATCCGAGTCATCCACCATGGACCGGAGCTGCTCCAGCACCCCTGTGGGCAACGAGAGCACCGCGGCAGGTGAGCACCAGGCGGGGTCTGCTGGCAGGGCCAGGCCCCACTCCCAAAGCCTAGCCCCACTGGGTGCAGCTTGGGACAGAAGGTCCGGGGCACATGGCCTCCAAGGAGGACGGGCTGGTGTGCAGCACAGCCAGCTGGTCTGTGGCACTGGGTCACCGAGGCCCCTCCCGCCATCCTCCCGCTTCCCCGGCGTTGCCCTTCGTGTCAGTTTCAGGAGAGGACCCTGGGCCCATCCTCTCTGAGCCACAGCGGGAACAGTGCAGCCCCAGCCTCCTTCCTCCGCTGCCTCCCACCTGGCCCTGCCCGGCACACCTGCCCACGTGATCCCCGGCACGCCCCGCCTCTCTCTCCTCCTGCCCCCTCTTCTTGTGTCCCTCTCTCTCTCATCCGTGCACACATTTTCATGCCATACTTGCTTCTGCCATCGGGTTTCTCATTTTGGTTCTTTCTGTTTGTTCTTTGTTTTGGTTTCTTTTTTTTTTTTCTGCTTTTCTCCACCCTCTCCAGGCTGCCCGGCTCCTCCTCCTCCTCCTCTTCCTCCACCTGCGGCCGCTGGTGACGAGGCTGCCTGCGCGGCCCCGCAGCCGCCAGTGACTCCATCCTTCTCGCCGGCCATGCTCCGGCCGCCCCTCCCCCCCCTCCCCTGCCTCTTCTCTCCGTCCTGTCTCTCATACTCTCTGCTCAGTGCCACTCTCGGAGCCAGCCGGGGCCTGGCCCACCCCACCTGCAGCCCGCCCAGCTTCCCGCCCATCACTGCCACTCCAACTCAAGTAAAAAGTGACGTCCCCCTAGTTCAGGATGCTGCAGGTAATACGCACACGCCTTCTCACTGCTGTCTGTCACCCCAGCCCACCCTCCACACCACGCTCTGGGGCCTGACCCTTTTCTGCAGCCAGCCAGCCACGGATGGGGCTGCTCTGCACCCCTCACAGCCAAGCATCTTTGAGACTAGACAGTGTGGTCTCCGTCACAAAGACAGCTCCTCGTGGCTCCTGCTCAGCGCTGGGCAGGCCAGAACATTGCCGCCAGGGATTCTCCCTGTTCACAACTGCTCAGAGGCCCAGAGATGGCCAATCCTGCCGGAGGCCCTACAGGATCTGCCTCCCTCGGCCTGGGGCGAGGCAGGACATGTCCCTTCTACTCCCAGGAGGCCCCCTGGGGTCTGGCCCTAGGGAGAGGCAGAGGATGCTTTGCGGAAGGTGTGCTGGGATCTGGGGCCTGCCCAGGTTCAGAGGGTCCAGATCCTGGCCTGAAACCCAGCCCACCCCCAAAGCTGAGCGGGAAGTGGTAATCTCTGAGGACTCAGGCCTCAGCAGTGCTCAGGGCAGAGGCACATCCCATCCCACCCCCATATCTGATACCCACAGAGATGGCATCTGCCCACCCCATCCGTTGAGTGTAGACACCACCCGGGCTCTGACTCCCCTGGTGATTCTTGCCTCACGTTCAGCCTGAGCACAGGCCCCAGGAGTTATGGCTGGGGCAGGGCTGAGCCTCCCACCCTCAGGGACTTCCGGCCATTGGAAGCTCCACTCTGGCATCACCACATCCTGTGACTTCAGACCCATAGCAGCTCCTGACCCACCCAGGTTTTTCACCTGAGGCCATCCCTTGTCCCCTGCCTGGGTGCCGCCACACCATCACAGTCCTTAGTTTCTATCCATTTTTGTCCACTCGGGGTGGGCGATGGGGCCTGGCCTCAAACGGGCAGGGCAGACGTTTGGTGGCCATAGTGACTGCCAGGCCTTCTCAGCAGGCTCTGGGAGAGCCGGGCGGGTCAACCATGTGGGAGGTGCTGAGGCCACCCCCACTCTGGTGGGGCTGGTCAGAGAGCTTCTCTTGTTGTTTGTGGGGGTGTCGTGGGGAGCCAGGACCAGCTGCCTACGCCACTGGCAGGAGCTGGGGTTCCTTCCCCTTACCCATGGCCATAGGAGCACAGGTGCCTCCCAGAAAGGGTTACAACCCTGGCCTTGGCAGGGGGGCATCCTAAATCCCGGGAAGCAGTCTGTGCCAGCTGGACATAGATGGGCTCAGCTCCCCCTGGCTGAGCCCCTGCCCTGGCCCTGACCCAGGTAAAACCTCTGAGCTGAGGGCAGAGGCACTTAGCTCCCTGAGGCCTAGTCCTGCAGCAGGGATGCGCTCCCCCAGCCCTTGGGACAGAAAACCCCAACAAGACCTTAAAGAACCTTCTGGTACCAAGGACAAAGTGCTCCTCCGGGCAGGGAGTTGCCATGCTGCACAGCCCTGGGGTACTTGGCACCCCTACTGTGAGTAGGCAGCTCCCCCTGTGCAAACAGGCGCAGCCAGGGAAGCCGGTAGCCGCCAGGAAAGGAGCCGGCCTGTCCCTCATTAGAGGCAGGCCTAGCTGGCGTCTTGGCCCGGGTCCAACTTGGGTAATTGCACTCTGCCGACCTAGATTCCCCCTTCAGCTTCAATTAGCGCCAGGACGTGTCCTCACTTCCCACCCAAACTGGCCAGGAAGCCGCCACCACGTACCCCAGAGCTGGTTAGGCTGCCACCCCAGGGCAGACGCCTGTGCGGTGGGGGATGAGGAGGGGAAGCCTGGGACCCCTGCTGTGCTGGGTGTGGGGGGGGCAGGAGAGGCCTCCTGAGCCAGGGGAAGCCGAGGGCTCCCTAAATGCCTCCCTCTGGCGCCGTGCCAGGTCAGGGGCCCCGTGTGGGTGTTACCCTGGGATGGTGTCCACGTGGGCACCTCTTCTGCACTGATCTCCCCGCCCCTCCCCAGGGAACACCATCTCCATGCCAACAGCCTCAGGAGCCAAGAAGCGCTTCTGGATCATCGAGGACATGTCGCCCTTCGGCAAGCGGCGGAAGACGGCGTCCTCCCGGAAGATGCTGGACGAGGGCATGATGCTGGAGGGCTTCCGGCGCTTCGACCTCTACGAGGACTGCAAGGACGCGGCCTGCCAGTTCTCGCTCAAGGTCACCCACTACCACTGCACGCGCGAGAACTGCGGCTACAAGTTCTGCGGGCGCACGCACATGTACAAGCACGCGCAGCACCACGACCGCGTGGACAACCTGGTGCTGGACGACTTCAAGCGCTTCAAGGCCTCGCTCAGCTGCCACTTCGCCGACTGCCCCTTCTCGGGCACCAGCACGCACTTCCACTGCCTGCGCTGCCGCTTCCGCTGCACCGACAGCACCAAGGTCACGGCCCACCGGAAGCACCACGGCAAGCAGGACGTGATCAGCGCCGCGGGCTTCTGCCAGTTCAGCTCCAGCGCCGACTGCGCCGTGCCCGACTGCAAGTACAAGCTCAAGTGCTCGCACTTCCACTGCACCTTCCCGGGCTGCCGCCACACGGTGGTGGGCATGTCGCAGATGGACTCGCACAAGCGCAAGCACGAGAAGCAGGAGCGCGGCGAGCCGGCGGCCGAGGGCCCCGCCACCGGGCCGCCCGTCAGCCTGGACGGATCCCTGTCGCTGGGCGCGGAGCCGGGCTCGCTGCTCTTCCTGCAGTCGGCGGCCGCCGGCCTGGGCCTGGCGCTGGGCGACGCGGGCGACCCCGGCCCGCCCGACGCCGCCGCCCCCGGGCCGCGCGAGGGCGCCCCCGCCGTCTCCACCGCCGCCGCCGCCGGGGAGTCCTCGCAGGAGGACGAGGAGGAGGAGCTGGAGCTGCCGGAGGAGGAGGCCGAGGACGACGAAGATGAGGACGACGATGAGGACGACGACGACGAGGACGACGACGACGACGACGACGAGGACCTGCGCACCGACTCGGAGGAGTCGCTGCCCGAGGCGGCGGCGGCGGAGGCGGCGGGCGCCGGCGCGCGGACCCCGGCCTTGGCGGCGCTGGCGCCCTTGGGTGCCCCCGGCCCCGCGCCCGCCGCCGCCTCCTCGCCCTAGCGGCGCCCGCGGGTGGCCCTGGCGGCGGCCTCGGCCTCGGGAGCGGCGCCGCCCCGCGCGAAACGCCCCCTGGGCAGAGCCCCGCGCCCCGCCGGTGCTTCCGGACCCCGAGTCCGTCTCAGGACAGAGGCGGGGACCCCTCTGGTGCTCCGCGGCCGAGGACACAGGCGGCGGCGGCCCTGCTCTAGGGAGGCCGGGTCTCTTCAGGGAAACAGAAGGTGCTCTCGTCCCGGGGTAGGGGACCGAGGAGCAGGGGTCCCGGGCGAGGGGGCACAGCCCTCGGCCGCCGCCCCGGCGCCCCTCCACGCGGCCGCCCCACCCCGCGACCATTGCTCAGGACTGGGACGGGCGCTGGGGGCCACCGGGACCCCCACCCCGCGCCACCAGGGCGGGGTGGCCCCTAGAGCCCCTGGCGGGGCCTCCCTCATGCAGCTAGGATCCTCCCCCTACCCAGGGGGAGACGAGCAGAAGGCGGTCAGCACGGGTGACACTACAGGGACCGCGGAGGAAGCCTCCTGGGAGTAGCTCCAGCTCCGCCCCACCCCAGCCCAGGGCCCGGCTGCTCCCCCAGGGCTGGGTGGGGTCTGTGTGGGGACTCCCTGGCCCCGGCCTCCGCCCCAGGGAAACGGAGGCTGCATCCAAAATCCAGAGCAGCCCGCTGGGGGCCGGGACAGGGTCTGGGCCACCCTGGGGGTGGAAACAGGAAGGATGCGCCTGGTTTTGGCTTTAATATTCAAAGTGGAAAAAAATACAAGAAAGTTGTACAGTATTTTTCCTGTAAAGGTTATTATTCTACATAGAACAAAAAGGAAGAAAGCAGGCATGGTGAGTGCAGACCTGCCTCGGCCCGGCCTGAGGTCGGAGGTCAGCCCCGTTCCTCCTGTGGGATTTGGTCCAGCGTTTTTTTGCAGAGGCCTTAACAGTTTGAGGCTGCCTGTGTTCACACTAGCACTGATGGGAGCTGCGTGATTCCAACTCTTAACTTGAATTTTATAGAGACAAGAAGAAAGGACTCTTACTGTTGATCCGAGTCTGTAGTTAATTTAACATTTGCGTTCTCTATTGGTGATGTGTGTGGCTTTATAGGGCTTTTTTTTTCCAGTTTGTTTTATTACTGTGTTTGGGATGCTTCTTTGCTGGTGCAGTCTACCCAGATTTGGTTCCCTTTGCAAAACATCCCCCTGCCTGGAGATGATGAGAACGTTGGAGCCCAGGCCAGGGCCTGACCTGGCAGGCACACATCTGGCCGGTGGTTCTGAGGTCCCCAGGGACCGAGTACCCTATGAGGGCAGGCTACCTGAGGCCACACCTGCCCACCTCCCCTACTCCAGGCCACCAACTAGTGTCAGATTGGGCCACAGGGAGGGAGAGAACAGGCCTAGCAGGGAATGGAGGGCTGGGGCGGAGGCTGTCACCCAGAGGCCTCCTCCCCAGAGAGCTCCACGGGGAACCTGGCTCAACTGGGGGGCAGTGGTTTACTTTCCCTTTTTTCTTCCTTTCTTTTGTCCTCTCGGCTGCCCACAGCCAGTAAGCCAGGACCACCCGAACTGGACAGGGCACAGGGAGGGAGGAGTGGTCGGACGGAGCGTACCTGATTCAACAGAAAATCAATTGTTTCTAAAACAGCCCCTACCAGAGCCTCCTGAATTCTGTGGACACCACGTGCTGCTGTGAGCTTCTGCCCAAACCTTGACCAGCCACAGGCCCCGGGCGCCTTTGGAAGGAGTTTTGTAAAGGAAAACACACACACACACACACACACACACACACACACACACACGTTTTCAATGTAGCAAAATCAAACTAAAAAGGAAGAAAAAAGAAGATGCCGACGGTGCGAAGTCTAGCCTTCTGTAACCTTCATATTGCACACTAGGACTATAAGCCATTGCTAGCTCATTTTGAATTTTAACGTGTAATTTTTGTTTTATTTTATTTCTGTGGGGAAGACAATGCTTGATCCACCAATGCTCTTTTTAATGTTTTATAACTATGTATGTGTATATATATAAATACAAAATAACATGTATGCACATATGTGTGTGTATATATCTATATGTATATACATATATAGATATATAGAGATATATAGAGAGGTTTTGAGACAAAAAAATGCAGAACGTGAAACCCGAACTGAACAGCGTGTGCTCTGATTACTTGAATCTGGTCTCCTCGGCACCTGGTTATTAAGAACTGAATATTTTTCCACTTGAATTTAGTGCTATTAGAAATTTAATATATGTGTTTTATTTATTTGATTTTTTTTTTTTTGCATGACTGATGCAAGGTTTGACATTTTCACTCAATAAAAACTGGAAAAAAAATCTATCAAGTTATCTTTTATTTTTAAAAGCATCCGTGAATGACCCAGCTACACCAGTAGGGTGAGGGGGGCGGAGCTGGGAACTCTTGGACCCTGACAGGAAAAGGGGGGAACAGACCAGTTTGTCTCTAGGCATGAGGCCAGGTTCTCCCAGGCTATTGGGGACAGAGATATGGGGCTCAGGCCTAGCCTGGCCAGAAGGGTGGCCTCCTCCCCAGCCTTGCCTGAAGCCCCCACTTGGGGTTCAGGAGCCACCTTCAGGCAGAGCCATCTGACACCAAGGCCTGGGGGGGGTAGGACAAAGGCTCTGTGGCCTCCCAGGACACCTACCCCAGCCAACCCTCTCCTCTCCTGCTGGGCTGCTGGGCCGGTGTTGGCAGGGCCACCCTCCTGCCTCCTCCCTCGGCTCCTTCCTCCTTCCTGCAGGGACCTGCCCAGGCTGGGAACGGCGTGTACCCGGATCCAATCCGGATGCTGGCTCGGCTCCTGCCTGGAGCACTGGGTGGCAGAGCCAGAGGGGGCTGATAATTCCTGGGTTCATAGCCACCGACCCAGAGCCTGAGCTGCCAGCCCTGGTGGCACTGTGGTTGGCTCCCTTGGAAGCACAGTGGCCAGAGTGCCCACCAGGCTTAGCTTGGAGTGCAGGCCTCCCAGGTGCTCCAGGAGTTTGCCCTGACACTTCCAACTGGTGGCTGGTTTCTCACAACACCACATCGTGGGAATCACCTTGGCAGCCCTGCCCTGAGCCGGCCTCCAGGTGTCCGGAGCTTCCTAGGGCCTTGAGGAGAGGACACGTGCAGGGCCGGCCACGGTCTTCCACGCTGAGGAGTCTTACTGGTTTGTCACACCCCAACCACAGGGATGTCACATCCACTTTCATAACAAGGAAACAGGCAGACTTCAGGGGGCTGGAGAGGTTCACATCTCCCTCACTGAGCCTGGCACCAGCCGGCCAGGCACCAGGGACCAGGGACAGCAGGGGAGTGGCCTCAGCCCACAGCGCCCGGGCCCATATCATTTCCCACCGCAGAAGTACGTCTCCAGCCCAGCCCCAGCGCGCGGGCACTCCCTTTCTTCTTTCCTCCTGGAACGCGGCCCACAGGGTATTTACATAAATATGTTTGTAACAGACACGAAAATATATACTTTTTTCTGTCTTATTAAAATGTTCAAGTTGGAACTCGCCTATTGTTTGTGGATATCTTGATTCTGTTAAATAAAACAGTGACTAATTTATGGGATAAAACACAAGTTCAACAAATTAAAACCATTATTGGAGCTTCCCAGGCCCTGGTGGGCCTCCCATGGGGCCTGAAGCGAGGCAGGGAGCCAAGCCCCGACCAGCTTGGTGCGGCCACAGGGCTCCCTCTAGGCCCCAGCACGGTGGGCAGCTCTCTGGGGCAGCACTGACTCCTGGGGCCCAGGGGAGGATGGGGACTCAGGCCAATTTGCTGCCCTAGGCCAGACCCCAAAACTGCCCCCTGGTCTTCTGGGCCTGGATGGACCTCAGCAGGCCTCGCCCAGGGCTGAACTAGCCTCACGACAGGCAGGGCCTGAAGTCCAGCCAGGGAAGCGGCACGGGGACTCAGGGACCTCTCAGAGGCATCTCAGGGCTGCAGGACACTGCACCCAGGCCAGCCCGTGGTACCACGTCCCAGGCCCTGCCCCAGAGGGTGGAGAGAAGCCCACACCCCCACCACGTATGTGTGCCCACTCTCAGACCGCCCCCTCAGAGCCGGGAGGAGGCCTGCGGCTTCGGGTGGGGCCGGGCCCCGGGCCCACGGCACTCCCTGTGGCTTGTTGGACTCAGTAGGAAATGCAGTAAAGCATGTTTTCCTTCTGGGATTTAATTAGCTGTGGTGTGTGATGCTCCTACACCCAAACTGGGGCAAATTCAAGAGTTTTGTAACCTCTTGGAAAGGGCCAGAACCCGCCACACAGGCTCAGGGCTGAGCTCAGGGGCCTGCCCACCTCCCACAGACCTGGCCCAGCAGGGGCGCTACCAGCAGCCTGAGTCATCCGCGGGCGCCGGGCCTTGGCACTCACCAAGCAGCCTTGCCCCAGCCTGGACACGGCAACAGGCAATTCTCTCTCTCTGGGCAGCATACCAGGCCGCTGGGCAAAGGCCAGTTGTCGATCCACTGTCATGGGAGGTAACCCCAACCGCACAGGTGGCATTGGCCTAGGGCCAGGGCTGGCAGCAGGGCCCTCCAAAGGGCTGGAATCCTGGGGCCTTGTTTGAGAATGAAGGAGCCAGGCCCCTGCCACCCTTGCTGGGAAGTGCCTCGGCACCCTCTGGGGCAAGTCAGGCAGGAATCTGCTCCCAGGAGGCCCACAACCAGCGCTGGAGAAGCTGGACCCAGTGGCTTGGCCTCTGGTAAGCCCCACACCCCACACCACTGGAGGGAGGCAGGGTTCTCCAAGAAAGAACCTCCCTGCCCAGAGCCTCCCTGTTGCTGCTCCTCCCTCTCGGTCTATAACACACCTAGGCCCGGAGTGTCAGAGTGGTGTTTAAAGCCATGACTCTGTCACTTTAAAGAAGGTCCTGGCCAGGTGCGGTGGCTCACGCCTGTAATCCCAGCACTTTGGGAGGCCGAGGCGGGCAGATCACCTGAGGTCAGGAGTTTGAGACCAGACTGACCAACATGGTGAAACCCTGTCTCTACTAAAAATAGCAAAAAATTAGCCAGGTGTGGTGGCGGGGCGCCTGTATTCCCAGCTACTCAGGAGGCTGAGGCAGAAGAATCGCTTGAACTCGGAAGGCGAAGGTTGCAATAAGCCAAGATTGTCCCACTGCACTCCAGCCTGGGCGACAGAGCGAGACTCCGTCTCAAAAAAAAAGAAGGTTCTAGTATCTGTCGTAGAGCAAGAAAAGGTTTCAGGCATGCTTTTTACATATAGTACATCTATCTCATTTCCTCTTCTAGGAGAACACAAACTTTAAAGTGCTCGATGAAAGTAAATTATTAAGGTTTGTTCATGATTCAGGTAATGTCATCCCTCAATGCCAGGCGAGATTTCAGACCTGTTTTGCATTAAAGAGAGTGCCTGAGGGCTGTGGTCTGAGCTGTGGCCTGCGTGGGCAGGTGTGGGGCAAGGGGAGGAGGACATCTCACAGAGGACCAGGCCCCACTGGGCCCTGCGTGAGTGTGAGGGGGCCACATGCATGCGCACATCAAGTCAGCACGTGCCAGCTCAAGTGTGGCTCCTCCGGCCAGGCGGTGGCCCAGCCCTGGGTAGGAAGCCCCTGTGCACAGCAAAGGAGCAGGGGCAGGAAGAGCGGCCGGGCGCTCAAGGCCTGCCTGGCTGCTACCCCAGCACGTCACCTGAGGGTGGAACCCCCACCTGCATGGGGGTCTCACTGGCGCCTTCATGCCTGCCCTGTCTGGAGTCTCTGACCTCTTCTTTGGGACCTGGGCAGAAACCAGTTTAAACAAACACATGCATTTAGTCAACCGCTGGGGATGGAGCTGTCTGACCCTTGGAGAATGGCCCCTGCTTGGGCTCTGGGGCAGTGGCCAGAAACGAAAACTTCTAGAAAATTCTCCCACCTCTACCTGGGTGGGAGGGCCCTGAAGGATGAACACAGCTTGCTCAGATATGTTTTATTAGAAACAGAAAGAAAGAAGGAAAGAGACTCTGGGCACACAGGGAGCCAATGGGCAGGTGGCGGCTTCTCGCATCTTTCATCTCTGTCCCTTCTATTCGGGTCAGCTTTGCTACATATCTCACCTGTGGGTACAAACTCAGCAGCCTCTTCCGCCGATCCAGGCTCTCCCTGTCCCAGTGGGGTTCCTGGGATGGGGCTGGCTCTGGGAGCCCTGGCTTTTAAAGGATGGGGCAGCCCCTGGCGGCAGAGACCCTACCATCCCCTGAAGGCAACTCCCCCGCCTCCTGGCCTGCTCCTGCGTGTTGCAAACATCAAGGGAGGTCCCCTGTCCTCCCAAACAAGATGCTCCTGCCCAAGGCAGAACCAGCAAGTCACCGGAGGAGCCGGGACAGACCCCGGGAACGAGGGAGCTGGTCCGCGGTGAGGTCAGGGCAGCTGTCCCTCGGCCTCTGAGCACGGGGCTGGTTCCTTCCTAAAAGATACTCTATAAAAATACATTGTAATTGAGTTTAATAATCTTCTCCCTTCCAGAAAGGGCCTGACAGGCGCTGCCTGCTGCTTACTTCTGCCCCATTCCGAATATTTTTACCTTATTTGGATGAAATGCATTATTTTTCTAATGAAAGGCTTTTTTTCAAAGGGCTGTTCTCCCGGGTCCAGCAGCTGACTTTATTAGGCAGCGCTCCTGCCGTTTTGGGGAGGGGTTTTTCTCTCCCTGAAATCACGCCAGACTCTCTGTCCTCAAAAGCCGAATTCGGTGCTCAGGACCCACAGGGGCAAAAGGCCTCCGGGCCCAGGTTTCTGTCTCTTTTTCCTCTGCACTAGAGCCTCAGGGATGAGCCGGCCCACTGACCCCCCAGGCTGGAGAGTGCTCGCCCCTGAAGCCTCTATTGCCCCCACCCCAGGGACAGTGAAGCCCCAAGGAATCCCTCTCTTGGTGGCCCCAGCTCTCCAGGGAGAAATGGAGCCAGGGAGCTGGCACTTCACTTCCACGGCACCGACTCCACAGCCCTGGCTTCCCTTCCCTCCCAGAGTACCTGCCCTCTGGTCCCTGGGAGGGACCTCTAAAAAGTTACAATGGCCAATGGGCAGCAAATGGCAGGGGGTCGGGACTCCTCGGGAACCAATGCGCCCACGATGCAGGCCTGCGGCACAGCAGGGCCCAGGGGGGGAAATGGGCAGTCACTGTCCCCAGGGCTGGCCGAGGCCTGGCCCACCCGTCTGCTCCCAGACACAGGGACTCTTGGGGCCTGGCAGGCAGGACCCCCTCATCCAGGCGAGGGTGGCAGCCCCTGGGAACTAAGACACATGCTTCTTCAGGAATGGTAAGGAGGCCAGGAAGAAAGGAGAACAAGGCAGTGTGACTCGGAACTAGGCTCTGCTTGTCCCTGGGGGACACGTAGCTGGAAACAGGAGCTGCAGGAGTGTCCTTTGAGGTGACAGGCATGAAAGACACAATCCCGCAGGCCAGAAACCAGACTGGGGCTGGACCCTCCAGTGGGTGGGGGCGGCCCAGTCCCGGGGACCCTCCAGTGGGTGGGGATGACCCCCCAGGGTCTCTCCAGCTGGTGGGGGCAGGCCAGTCCCGGGGACTTTCCAGTGGGTGGAGGTGGACCTGTGCCTGGGGACCCTCCAGTGGGTAGGGGCGGCCCGGGCCTGGGGACCCGTCACTTCAGCGGGCCCTTTGGTCCCAGTGTTAAGGGTTTGCTGCAAGGGCTGAAAGCAAAACATCTGGGGCAAAACAGCCCCTAAGCCAAGTCTCAGCCCAACTGCGTGGCCTCCTCCCTCCCCAGGACGGGGCGAGTGCATGGAGGCCCCAACTGCAGGGCTACCCAGGACTTCGTATTTCCAAAGCCGTTGTGTCCACACAGGCAGGTGGACATCACGGCGTCTGCGGCCCACCAGCCTGGACCTGACCCTTGGGGGCTGGAGGGAACAGGAGCACCCATCGAGAAGCACATGGCTCTGCTCTTCTGGTGTTAGCCAAATGCTCTGTGAAGTAGAAAGCGGGACTGGGAGGGCAAGAGCCGGAGGAGAACGGGAGACAGAGGATGCCACACTCCTTCCCCGGGAAGCATTCGTCCATTTTAGGGAGGAGAGCTCCTCACCCCGAATAAGGTCTATATACAGTCACAGGAGGTCCCTGCTCCTCCCGCAGTCAGCAAAGTGTCGCCCTCCGGCAGCCACCCGACAAGGAACAAGGCCCTCTGCTTCTGGCTGAGCAGCGTAAACTGCCTCGGGGAAGGGCGTGAGCTGCCTCACCCACACTTCACCCGCTGGAGCCTGCGCTGAGATGGCCCGGGTCCTGGGTGCCGTGAGGAGACAGGGAGCCACAGGCAGAAATTAAATAGTGGCAACTGGTATTTATTACAATTATATACAGTCCTATCTTCCGTTCTGAGGTCTATACATGATCACACAAATGAACATGTTTCTTGGGGGTAAGGACAGAGCTGGCTGTTGGTCAGGCCCCGTGCCTGGCTCCTC